ATTTAGAAAGTGTTCTTATCAAATGTAAGGACAATGTGAAAAGTGGATTATACACATACATGTACACACCAAAAATACCTATGTTCCAGAAAGCCTTAGCAGACTGGAAACAAGGAAAAATAATAGGGATGGGGGGTGATAAGTGGAAAATATTATTCTTAAGTTCATCAAATTGTACCCCTCCTAAGCCAATTATACAACTACAGGTTGTTGGACACTCAGCAAAATGGAACTTAAATTATGGGATGGAGGGAGAATGGGGACATATATAATATTTATAGTTGATACACAAGATTAATGGTTGACAGCAATATTTATAATTGACCCCATGTGGGAATATGTGTGATCCTTATAATTCAGCACCTGATGAACCGTTGGATTCTATGACCCTAAAGTAGAAAAATAAGCTCATTTCTCCATCAATAAGCCACACTAAATGCCTAGAGAAAAATGAAACACATGATTCTCTTAGACATCAGAGCACAGACTGGACTTCCAAAGGGAAAAGGTGTGACAAAGTGCCCTGGCAATGGAACGGGGTGTTGATCCTCACAACTCAAGATAAATAACATGCACAGAATTAGAAAACAATGATGAGGCAAGACCTCTTGGGACCCGCAGTATAATAGGATGGCGAGAAAGACACTCTGCAACCACAGAAATAATGAAACATTCCCCTCTTTTGACCAACACTAGCTACTACTGCTTCTTTATTAATGATAACTACCCTTCCTTTAATCTTTCTAACACCTTGGTAACATTTACCAAAATAGCCAATTCCTGAATTGCCTCATTTCATTAAACCCTCCTTATAATAGCCCACCACAAGCCCAAATCCTACAAAAAGCCCTCTCAACTGCCGATTACCAAAATCCCCAGCGTTCCTTTGGTGTGCAATCTCCCTTGCTGTAAAATGAATCTAATGTTACAGTCTTGTTTCTGGTGGGTCTTGGCTGCTGGGCTTCAACCCAGGGCAATCCTGATGTTAATCATCTGCCCCAGTGTCAGAAGAAGGGTTCCAATTGTGGCTTTAGAAATTTGATCACCATAAATATGTTGCTCGAATGGCCAAACTGGATAATTCATGAGAAATAAAGTCCCAATTTCAGATGACCATCCGTGAGTGACTACAGCCACAAGCATTCTAATTGTGTGAATCTGTAAACAACCTTAGAGGCACTATTTTACCTCCCTACAGGCAGAAGAATGGTGGTGAGGGGCAGCGGGGGCAGTGCTTATGGGTGCTGCAGCTAGCAGTGGCTCAGCCTTATTTCATAGAGGTTTATTAGTTTACAAAACAACAAAATATTCACCATAACATAACAGATATCACTTCAAATAGAAATGCATTTCCCAAATGTAAAAATAATCATTTATGACTTAAAACCAACTCCTTGTTACAAAAACATCTTGTGATATATAAAGACGTAAAACTAAAATGTCATCCTTAAAAATTAAGTTAAAATCAAGACACTAAACAAAAAAAATTATAATGACAACAAGAACATATTTTGAGCACTTATTATGTGCCTCGGTTTGTGAGATTTTAAACTATTTCATTTTATCCACAGAAACACTTTTTAAGAATATCCCCATTTATGAATGAGAAAACAGGTTTGAGATGATAATTTATCTAGGAAGCAGAACTGCAAGTGGCAGAACCAAGTTTTGAAAGCCAAATGTCTATTCAGTAATTCCAAATTCCAAGGTTACCAAGCAGATCATTTTTCTTAGGTGTGAGAATGAAACCACACCGTCCTTGGAATGATTATAAGATTTGATTATAATGAAAGCAGTTAAAAAAAAAACTACGGAGCACTGCTTACAGTGTCTTTTAGTATTAAATTTTCATTTAGCTACATCAAGAGTTTATTTTTATTATTCTACTTATAGCCAAAGTCTACCAAGGAAAAGTTACTTTCACAGACTTCTTGATACAGAGAATATACTTGCTATAGAGTTCTATATCAACAAACATCCACATTTCAAAAATAGTTGGCATATGAATTATCTAAATGTTGTCTTTTTTTTAAACTTCCCCTTTCTGAACTATCCTCTAAAAGAGGAAATACTGCATGTGTGAACAATGTGCAATGCATGTGCAAAGAGAATTCTAATAGAAAAGCATTATCCCCATCCCCAATAAATACAATAAAAATGAAAAGACCTTTAAAAGACACTGGCACTAACAGTTCTTTTCTGAATAAAATAAACAAGAGCAAAGGGCACCTTGACTACTACTTAGAAAATAAAATCAGAACACAGGGAAATCTGTAATTCTAATCACATTTACACCTTCTCTCCTTTTTTACATTTCTCATCCAAACATCCTTAGGAGCTCAATAGGCTTAAAAGAATTGGAGCAGGGTAGAGAACAAAGGTGAGGGGATCTGAGAAACAGTTTAAATCACTGCTGTCACAATTTTAATAATTTCAACTTGGTTAACATTTTTCAGAAGAAGTAAGTCACAAAGGTAGGAAGAAACTAAAAACTTATTCTACCTACTTATATTATACAAACTGCATTTTAGCTAGACATCTCAGGGATTAAGCACTGTGAACAAGAAATGGAAGAAAGCAGTAAAAATGTGTACTTCCAAGGAAAACAAATATCAAATTAAATGTGTTTGTTTCAGTCAGTGAAAGGCTATGTGCTAAATGAATACATTTGTTAAAAATATTACTATTTGTATTCTCACGTAGAAATGACTACTTATATATGAACTATGTTCTCTCAAGATTGAGGATAATCCTAGGAAGTATGATAGCCAATTACTAAACTCAATCATGTTAAATGTTATAGATCATATATAAATACAAAAATAAAGAAAAATATTTATTAAGCATGTGATATGTGTGCTTTGTTCAATTTGAGATTGAGGGTTTTTTTTAGAGAAATGAGAGGAATCAATGTTTAAAAAACAGTTTAATATTTTGCTGAAGTATTCATAAAACAATGACGAACAATACAGACACAAAACTTTAGAATTATATGAAATTCCTATATGAATGCTTTTTTATTGTGTGGGTCTATATCAGCACAGTACTTTTGTCTGATTTTTTTCTTAATGAAAATATTAAAGGAACTTAGCATTTCTTTTCACCAGTACCACCGTCTTTAGCGCTCCTGTGATTCCTCCATCACCTTCAGACACAAATTTTAAAAAGGTACTAGCAATGGGGAAACAGTCCAGAGTGACTTAAAAGATTCTCACCATCATGGCACTTTTTTTGTGTGTCATGTGTATCAAACGCAAATAATTACAGCAATTTCCGTCTCAGTAGGGCAGAGTTTTAGTTTTCCCTGACATTCTTCTGGTAAGACACTGTCTCAGTGATTGACACTCTGGAAAGTTCCTCTTCAAAAGAGATGATACCCACAAGGTTCTAGGAATGTAACACCCAATCAATGTGTTGCATTCAGCAGGTATCAGAAATACTGAGATACCAGAGTGGAGTGAAATCAGGGCCTTATTGAACAGGAGGGGCTGGCTGTCCATATTCAGCAAACATAGCAGGCAAAGTTACGGTATTTGTGGGCAAAAATCTAGTAATTCAGGTGAGGATCTCACATCACAACTCTCTCACCACACACACACACACACACACACACACACAAAATCACTTTAGTTTTATCAACAGCTGATAAGTGAGATTTATTTCTTAATGAAAAGAATGCACCGAAATAAGAAAAACACAGATTGATAAGAGGACATTTTGTTTGGCGACAGAAGAATCGCCCTAAACTGAGAATGTCAAAAGTAGTATAGAAAAAGCATCTGTACCAAACAGGTATACAAATAAATAACTGTGTTTCAGACTGGTCATGTAAACTCAGATGGAGTCAATGTTCCCAAATGCCTAAATTTTCTTTCTGGAATGACTTAAAATTGAGTTCACAGCCAGCAAAGCAATCAAGAAAAGTAGCTACAGCTCACAACTCCTTAGTGTTACAATCAAGTCTCCCAAGCCTGGAAACTCAAGCAGAGGATGGATTTTAGACTCAAGCGTTCTCCATAAGTTCTTTGTTCAACCAGTAACTTCACAGATTCGTCTGTGTTGGCTTCACAGACAGCGAAAGAGGTGCACGGCACCACTGAGATCTTACTTAGCTTCAGACACCTGCTATTGCGTTTGACAACTACGACCTATTCTTCCAGACAGAATCTACACTGGAACTCCCGCCAGCAGAAGGAAATTGGGGCGGTGGAAATGGGGGGTAGGGTTCCAAAGCGTAGTAGGCAGAAGGCGCTCACAGGAAGCAGGGTCCACACTGGCCACACTATCTTTCCTTTGGGATCCCTGGTACATCTCACCCATGTCAAGTGACTCCCCAGTACGTTCGGTTTGATCGCCTGTTGCCGTAACACTTTTCAGGCTAAAAACTACCTTGTGGTGCTAGGAGACATGCTGGGTGGTTGGGTTTTCCAAGCAGGGCTTGATGCCAGGGCGCAGAGGGGCAGCTTAGGGTCACGTCTCTGGGTGCACAGGGTCCAAGTCCTAATTACAGAGGAGACCGACTGCCCTTGTCTGCGCCCCATTCTCCAGCAAGGAGCCTATCGCAGGTTTGTGATTTTTAATACCAACTTGGAACGATTAATTCAATTCCCTCTCCCTTATGAAAAAGCAGCAAACAGAAACCCCGGTGGGTCACTGGTGAAATTTCTACTCGGAACGGAAACGCAATCAGACTGAGTGTCCCCCCGCCCAGATGTTTGCTTTCCTGGCTCTTTCCAACTCATCCTCTGGGGCGCAGGGAGCCAGGCGGTAAGCAGAAGCCCAGAACCCGGCTTCGCTGCAGGCGTGGTTAGGGGTCCCCGGAGCTGCGCTGCGCTGCGCTCAGGCTGTCCGCGCCGAGCACCCCGGAGGCCTCCCCGGGATTCACCCTGCGCGGCTGCAGGGCCCGAAAGGTCATCTTCCCACGAGTGTCACCCGGGGAGCCTGTGGAGCGCAGGCCGAGCTCGGACGCCCCCCGCCCCGCGACCCCCGCATCTCCTTACCTGCCCGGGGCGAATCCGGCAGCCCCCTGACAGCTCCCAGCAGCCGCCACTGAAAAAGTTTCCGAACTTCTTCGCAGGTCTGCACGCCCTCGCTGCGGGCGGACCCAACCAGGGCCAGGAGAAGGAGGCAGCGAAAGCCCACGGGCCAGGTCTGCGCATCCATCCTCGCCGTCCTGGTCCCCCTTACCCCGCAGGAGACGCCACCCGCCCCGCGCGCCTTGGCCGAGCTGCAGGCGTGGAAGACGCGGCGGCCGAGGCTCCCGAGCGGTGCGAGGCGGCTACGGGGTGTAGGGACCGCCCGCGGGCGCCGGCTTCACCTGGGAGCACTTGGCTCTCCTCCGTGGAGGCCCTAAGCTGAGACACCAGAGTTTTCGAGCTGAGCACTGTCCACTCTTCTTCCCCAGTGGAGGCGAGTGGGCGCTGCGCGGGGCGAAGAAAACTAGTGGAGCCGCAGTGAGCCCGCGAGCATTCAGCTCCGGCCGCCGCCGCCGCCCGACTCCGCTCGCAGCCGCTAACCTGGTTGTGCCCGCCCGCCGCGCTCCGCGGAAGCCCCGCCCCACACGCCCCGCCCCACGGACAGGCCACGCCCCTGCCACGCCCCCGGCGTGTTGTCTGGCTCCGCACCCCCTAAGATGCTGTCACTCCAGGCCCAAGGCTGTAGACTCCGAGCAACATCGATGCAAATAAATAAAACTAAACCCAGACCTGGCTCACCGAGTCCGTTCTGGGGAGGAATCATCTGATAAAATCACAGAATGCATAAAGAGGATCAGAGAAGACAAGAGATGAGAAACGCTAACTGGAACTAAGAAGAAATATCTACACAATCAAGGTCCTCAATACATAGGAATTTGTATTCTAATTGCATTAAATGGAATCTGGACATAATACAAAAGGCAAAACTATTTACAGTTAAAGATCCCAATTGAGTGACTTCATAACATTTAGGTTTTAAAAGAGTACACATGGGAAGTTATTTTTTTAATTGCTTTGTGTTACTGCTTAGGAATCGCTTTCTATAACATTACGATTTTCTGAAAGAAGGTATAAGAATTACAATCAAAGTTTATCACATTCTTATCACAATGAAGTCTAGTTTATTCTCTTATTACCATTTTGCATCATATTGTACTTCCGCACTTTGTATTTATGGGGCCTCTGTGAGCTTTACCACTTCTGTAATTTCTTTAAAACATTTTTCAGAGAGCAACTAAGTTAAGATTGCTCAGAGGAGTTCCTCACAAGGAATATAGAAAAACGAAGACTTTAAGCAATTTTAAGATGGCAAAGGAATTCTGTCAATTTATAGTGTACAAGAGGAATGCACTAAGCGCCATAAACCAAAGGGCAGGTGCATTTTGTAAATGTGATTGACTCAACAGCTAAGCCTGTAAGAGTGTCTCAATCTGTAGCCACTTGAAGAGAGTACTCCTCGTGCAAAACAAACTAGTTAAAAGCATCAGGCAGGTGGCACTCTGAATGCTTTAACCACTTTAAAGGAATTTCATCTCAAATTTGAACCCTTGCCAAGAGATAGTAGTGAAAAACATTATGTCTTAGCGAAGCATTTTAATGAACATTTGATATCAAAGGCAGCACTTTCAGCAGTCTATCACTTGTTTAAAACCATTCCAGGGCAATGGCTAAGGCACTGCTTCAGAGTGAAATCGTGCTACTTGGCATTCAGCATCAGTTTTCTGAAAACGAGATTTTGTTTCAAAGGACAGTGTTCTTCATGAATCTCTTTTGCTCTAACCACTAAGCATGGAAAGATTGCCCGGAAGTCAGCTATATCTATGAAAAGAAACAAGAACCACCATAAGAACGTATATCATGCTTATGGGCCAGATCATATTCTAAGTACTTTACGGATATGAATTTACTCATTTAATCTTTATAACAACCCTATAAGGTAGTTACCACTATTATCATTGCTTTATAGATGAGAAAACAGGCACAGAGAGGTGAAGTGACTTACTGAGTGCCTAAGGTAGTCACGAAGCCAGCAGTCAAACTGGCACTTCCAAATCCAGACCACATGCTCTCCACAGGCTCTCCTTGACCATTCTATGGGCAGCAACACCAAAGCCTGTTTATTCATTTATCAGATTGTTTACTAGTAAATATGCAAAATTTATCTCTATATAACTGTATTCTACTAGAATTACTTATATATCTATATAAGGCTAAGAAATTTCCAATTTTTTCTAAAACATCTTTATTCTTACCAAGATCTCTCCTTGATAGATTTGATCATCAGACTCTTAGCGTCAAAAGGATTCTTAAATTACCCAGTCCAATCCATTACCTGGAATCCCTAAAACAATGTGTCTTGCAAGGATCAAAATCACAAACACAGCTAAATATTGATGGTTCAGTTCAAACTAATCGACTAAAACATATTGGTTGAACACATACAATTTTTTAAACCACTGTTCTAGGCATAATAGGAGTTTAGAGAGACATGCAAGCAAGTTTTCTCAGTGATTTTTATAAGTTAACAAAACAGGTGGGAGGTCATTTATAGAAATGCCAGAGGAACTAACGAGAATATGTTTAGTCTGTGTAAAATATCCCCATTAACAAAAAATAAATATATTTTCTTTCTACCTCTTATCCATAACTGCTAGCAAAGGGGATGAGCCACCATGTGGTTTGCAATGGCAACTTGTCCTCTCAGTATTCCTAAGCCCACCACACAAGGCAACAGTACGCCTGCTACTGAAGCTACCAAGTGTTCTGCCCAGAACACAATACCACGATGTCTTTTATAAGAGCATTCTAGAACTGTCTCTGCAAATTGTACTATAACTAGCTTTTTGTTCTATTTACTGGTAGACATTACAAATGCAGCAAGGGAAAACTTTCTATAATTTGCTAGTTATAATGCCTTATTTTTCAAAAGGTATTCAAAAAAATGTATTGAATGCTTTTTATGTAATAGGCACTGTGCTTTGCTTTCAAAATACCAATACCCTTGGATAGGAGAATCTTTAAATGGCCACTATTTAAAATACATCTTAATCATATTCTAAATGCAAAACTTCCCTGATACTTTCTAAGTAACTGTTCATAGTTTGTCGACTAAGGACCTTGTAAAGAGAAATAAAAAACCTCCAGTGTGGTTTAGGTGATTTAATGATATCACAGAGTCTTCAACCCTGACTATTTTAGGCTAAGACTGGCCACTGATTAGTTCACCCTCAGAAGCTGATTTGGGTAACTTTTATATCCAGTCAATAACAATAGCTAATATTTATTAAGCACTTACAGATATTATCTCATTTAACATTTCAACCATTTCATGAGACAGTTACTATTATACTACTGAGAAAACTGAAATGCAAAGAGATTAAATAACCTTCCAGAAATATTGATAAGAGCCCAAATGCAAGCCAGGCTTCATACTTCTTGACTTCTGTACTCCCTTAGTCACTACACCCAACTGTCTGACAAGCCAGACACCTGGCCTGTGGCCTCTTGAACTCAACCTATCATATGAATAGAAACTCTGGTACTCACAGCTGTCGGTGTGGATAACCTACTGAATATCTTGTTTGTAGTGGCCCAGAACCCTGCATTGGCTCCAACGATGGCTTGACAGTACCTCACTGATGTGCAGCTGACTAAGGTACTACCTGCTCCTACTGCCTACCTCCGCTAAGCTTTTAACCAGGAGAACTATTTTGCAATATCCCATGAACTGCCTTGACATCTTTGAGCCTCACAGGCCCCTCGCCATGAGTTCTCCTGCTCTGGCCAGATATGCCCCCCCACTCAGAAGGAAAGGCTTGCTTGCTGGTTACCTCCCTTAACTGAACCAGCTTCATCCTGCCCTGTCTTCAACCTAATGGCTTTCACCTCCCTCCACAGCAATTATTCCAACAAGCCAATCACATTCTCCTGTGGGAACCAAAGGGTCCTCCCCGAAACACACCATCCTCTTGTTACTACAAAGTCTGCCTCCCACAGCTCCTGCAGGTTCACCCCACTACCAAATGCAGCACCTCTTGTATAGCCCTACACCGCATGTGGTAGCCTCCTTCCCTGGGCTATGAGTATGTGTGACTAACAAATGCTGTAAATTTCATCTGTCAAGTCTTATGTGTTTGATCATCTCATATTATTTACAAAGGGGTATCACTCTTTCATCAACTGGGTGAAAAGGAGGTGGTCAGAGAAATAATATTCTTTTTTTTTTGAGACGGAGTTTCGCTCCTTACTATCTCATAGTAAGTGTGCTTCAAGGCAAAGAAAATCTTAACTATTTCACAAAAAACCTTAAATAAGTAAACTGTTCCTGTGTGACAACATAGGGAAACCCTGTCTCTACAAAAATTCCAAAAAATTGGCCTGGCATAGTGGCACATGCCTGTAGCCCCAGCTCCTTGGGAGGCTGAAGAAGGAGGATCACTTGAGGTTGAGGCTGCAGTAAGCCATGTTAACACCACTGCATTCTAGCCTGGGTGACAGCATGAAACCCTGTCTCAAAAGAAATGAAAAAAGAATAGACTAGACAGGGAGGAGGGGAGGGGAGGGGAGGGGAGGGGAGGGGAGGGGAGGGGAGGGGAGGGGAGGGGAGGGGAGGGGAGGGGGGAAAAGAAAAGGAAGTCTCCCTAAAGGAGAGAATACACAGCAAATAAAACAATCCATAAAATACTCAAAACCAGACACCAAACTGAAATTAACATGACAGTCAGTGGGAAACTTTGATCAACAAACACATTTTCAAAAATAACCACACACACACACACACACACACACACACACGCATGTGTGTGTCTGTATACCTAATTCTATATTTTCAATTTGAAAATCCTCATCTTGTAATCATCAGTACATGTTCACCAATGATTTTGAAACATTTTAGATGTATTTATGTCATTATCTCATAGTAAGTGTGCTTCAAGGCAAAGAAAATCTTAACTATTTCACAAAAAACCTTTAAGAAAACTGTTCCTGTGTGAAAATTTCAAAAGTATTTTGTACTATCTTTAATTTTACAGGCTTTATATTTGCAATTTCTAATGAAAGACATTTTATTTCTTTCAGAGAACTTACAGAGAAATAAAAATAATAGTTGCTCTCAAAAAGAGAATATAAAGAATTAGAACACTAGGAAAAGAAACCAGCAACACTCAATGAGTTTATAAACCCAAATGTCTTCAAATAATTTTCTTCTAGTCTATAATGTAAGAATGTGAAAACTTTGTTCTTCAATGTTGCAATATACATTGCATGTGTAAATTATATGCATAATTACAACATAATGAAAATGAATATATTATACATTACTCTCACTTTGAAATGTAGATTTTGCACCAACTATTTTTGGTTTCCAAATAGAATGAAATGGACATCCAAAATTTCATTGCATCATTAACTACACCAACATGTTAAGGAAAAATAATTAACCAATAAATCCAGTTGTTAACTAAATGAAATACATAATCTTGCTAGATGAATGTTTTTCAGAAATTAAACTAGGGAAAAGTCTCTAACCTTTATAAGATTTTACACCTGATGTTACCAGCTGTGTAACCT